CGTTCTCACAGCTCATACAAGCTTACTGTGTCCGAATGTTCGCACTAACCGCTAAATCCCTCAAGCACTATTTTGAGCGGGGACTATATATTGGACTTAATAGCGAACTCAGTTAAATTATGCTACGTTCAGACCTTCAAGCAGCAGAGGCAGCAGAAGTAGCGAGTTTACATGCAAAGTCAATGGTGCAGCAGAAGGTCCTGCAGCGGGTTTTGACCAGCAGGAGCAGACCGACTGAGCAGCTGAAGCAGCGCCTCATAAGCTTCTGAGCATCAGATGTGCTTCAGAAGCAGCAGCTGCTGGAGTTGGAAACATTTTTGCTGCTTGAGGCGCCACATCAACTAATCAGAGAAGCTGATTAGGGAGCTGGCAGGGAGTCAGACTCAGCACTGATGATGCAGAGCGCTATGAACACTCCTCCGAAACAGTTTATTAACGCCTAAATTAACTTAAAATGTCGAAACCTGCCAGCAAAATATGTTACATTTTATTACTCTGCTAAAAAATGCCTTCCAGGCGCCACGTACAGTAGGAGAAAACAGAGGCTGCTGCTGGGAATTCCCAGTGACAGCGCACCCCGGGTATGTGGTCTGGTCTGAGCGGCCTCGACAAAAAAAATTATATTTGAAGGCAGGATGGTAATCTGGATAAACTGACTGCACAGATGAGGTGCATTCAGGTGGACTTTCTCACTTCAGAATAGATCCAAACTACTTTTTACCCACTTTATCACAGCAAATATAGAGAGAGAAAGGAAAGGGTAGCTACGCACAAGGCGATCAGATCTACTTTTCGACCTTGCAGCTAGAGCAGCAAAGATGCTTCAGCGGAGCATCAGAACTAAACTTGTACAAGCATCAAAAATGAAGCAGCACGCATGTTTTTGCTGCCTCTGCTGCTTGTGGTCTGAACTTAGCATTACTGTTTGGACTAGGGGTGGAACGGTTCACAAAACCCAGTTCGATTCACGGTTTTGTGGTCACGGTTTTCGGTTCGGTTTGGTATATGTTGATTATTACATCGAAATCCCATAAAAATTAATGAAATTAATGAAAAAATACCAAAAAAATTAATGAATTGTTATTATTTTTAATGATCTGCGGAAACCCTGGATCATTTCCGCATGTTTTGCTGCTTTGAATTTAATCATCTGGCGCATGCCCTCTACGATCTCCAAGGAACTCAGAGCGGAGTGGACGGGAGCCACAGTGGAGGCTGTAGGCTTTGCTTTGAGCGCAGCGCTGATGGAGTATGAGGGATTTAGGGGTTAGCCTGACATGTTGGTCGTGTTGCTGTTAGCATAAACAAAACGTGTTGCACAATGCTTGCACACTGTTGCACTTTTATCCACAACTTTCTTTCCGCCGTCATCGTAGGTCACTCTAAATGCAAAGTGGTCCCATACAGCAGACCTATAAAGTGCTGCTGGCGCGTCTTCCAACTCCTGTTCTTTCCCACTCGCCATACCCACACAATTCTCCACAACAACTGATTTTTTTCTGCTACACCCGGCTACACTGCTTCGCTTCTTCTTCTTCTTGTTTACTACTGGTGGTTGGCATTGGTCGCAGTACCGCCACCTTCTGCTCTGGAGTGTAAACGCTTCGCCTATGAGAAAAAGGAGCAGCGCATGAACCGAACGCAACACACGCGAACCAAACCGAGACAGTCGAACTGAACGGATCGCATCCCTAGTTTGGACAGATGATTGCTTTTTTGCTCCGTTGGTCACGTAACTCCTCCACTGCGCGGTGCCTGCTCCATCTTTGTTACTAGTCACTGCTGTCGGGTGCCGACAGCCACTGTGACATCAAATCCTATAATTCTTGGATATATGTGCCTCTTCTCAGGCCTTTCTTCTCATACACTTTTTCTCTTAAGACCCTCTGCAGTTTTCAAAGAACTGCATGAGAAAGGTGATCTTCAATGACTGTCTGAAACCATAGCTCACCACAAATATACACCTGAAAGTGCTCATGCACAGCAAATAACTAATGGCACTAGCAATAATGACGGCCTTACGTAAACATATAACTATAGAGTTATTTAGGAGGACCACTTATTTAGATGATCAAACCTGAAAAACAACATCCTCCACTATACCTGTAAGGCAGGTATCCCCAAAGTTGCTCCCAGAGGGCCACTGTCCTGCAAATTTGAGATGTTTCTCTGCTTTAGCACAGCTGATTATAATGATTGCAGTTCAGCAAAAGCCTATTAATCAACTATAAATTAAATCAGCTGCGTTTTAGCAAGGAAACCTCTAAAACCTTCAGGACAGCGGCCCTCGAGGACCAACTTCGGGGATGCCTGCTTTAAGGGAACAATGACTAGCTTGAAGATGCAATGTTGACGTTACAAACAGTACTTTCTCAGAAGGAAGGGTTTTCTGAGAAGTAGCCAATTAAACGCAATTTGCTTTTTCTGGTTGAGTACACCCTCAGCATGAAAAAAGGAGAGCCAGCGCACGGAAAGAGTTCCACAGTAGGAGTGAGAGCATGAAAAGCATGCCACCAGTGCAGGGAAGGAGCATGCACTCATGGTTGGGACGTATTGAGAGCCTCACGGCATTAAATCTGCATGCATTAAATGTTCTCATGGAGAGTAGTTAACATGGCTGTGTTTTAAATAATTAATGCTTGGATGAGTATTTATCACACAAGCATTATTTTGGCAGAATTCTGACTTCATATACAGTCTATTTCCAAAGCTCTATTAGATACAGTAGGAAAAAAAATAATTTCTGTCACTCTCATAAGCATTTTGATAGTGCTTTTTATGTATTTTCAAATTCAAACTATTCTTTTAATGTTCTTCTCCAATCAATCAGTGAAATTAAAGTCGATAAATTGAACATTAGCAGTCCTATGAAGAAATTGGACATTGTATAAGCACTGCTTCTTCAAAGAATCATGGTGATCATAATGATGACTTTAGGAAGGAATGATCTGGTCATGGCAGATCTAAGAAGCAACCCTCTAAAGACATTAGGTTCTTAAACCACTATCTAGTTAATGATCTTTAGAAGAGGGCTAAGCTTCTTTATTAGCCTTATCAACATTTCAAAGATGGCCTCAGATAGTCTTGCACTCTCTGCAACAGACTGGTAAAATATCTGCAACATCTAGGTATAAACATTGAAGGAGCCAAACTTCCTCCAAAAGCACAGCCCACTCAATCTCTCCTTGTGTAAGTCTTTTATGCTGCCTCATCTTGTGGTCCAGATGAACACCCAAGTAAGCTTTCACTGTATTCACTTTTCCATGGTGGAAATATCCTTGGATGCAGTCTTGCTTTTCCCAAGACTATTGATGTTTTGCTTGAATTCTGTGTGGTTTGGCTTAAGATGACGGTGCGACTAACCTGACTCCGCCAGATGGATTTGCTCCGCATATCCATCTGGAAACCTTCCGTTGAAGTAATTTTGGGAAGGGGCGAAAATACTGGTTAGCTAATTGGTCTATGTTGGTGATAGACGGGCCAAATAAACCAATCAGATCAACGAAGCATATGACGTACTAACAGAGCGACGACGAAGAGGAGCCAATTGATAGATCAAACTCTTGCCGAAACCAGTCGGGAGAAGAGCAAAAACCTCTTTTCCTCTGAGAAAAGCCTCCAGAGCAGTGTTTTGCTCTTCTTTCAGTGAAGAAATACTCTGTAATTCCCATAAAACTTGCTCGATAGCCACGCTAACGCTAGTTTCATCGGCTGAAGCCGCCATGTTCTTTAGACTGAACTGTCGCACTTCTCGTTGCATCACACCTCAACCTGCCTCAAAGCCAACGCTGATTGGACGTTCCTTTGGTGAACTGCTCGAAATTTTCTTTAACGGAGAGTCTCCAGACTGATTAGCGAGTGAAATCTTGAAAGCTCGCGAGATCAGGATGGTCTCACGAGGCTACTGTGCGACAACTACACAGAGTAATCTGTAAGGTGTCTGTGCTCACCCTCTGGTACGCCCAGGTATTTGCAGATGGCATGACTCTGACTTGTACTGGGAAGTCTGAGTTGTTCAGTATAAACATTCATTTTGGGAATATGGTTGCGGTCCGTTTGTCAGGAAGGTACTAATTTGTTTGAATATTATTCTTAATACCTCACTATGTGTTTAGGTACCCTTGAAAAAACAAATTTCTCCTTGAGGGACAAGAATCTGAGTCCGACTTTGTTGTCCAGAGTTTCTTTCACACTAAACCAGGCTGGTTGGGTATGAAAGAGGAAAACATAAACCTCCCAGTGCTGGTTTAAGATGACCCCTAAATTTGCCTGGTTTTTAGGGGCTTGTTTACCTTCTTGAATACGTCAATAAGATGTTCTCTGGAACTTTCAAGATGTATGACATTTGGTCAATGGGGCTATACATGTCCAGCACTGATGGACAGGGTTTCCGGGGAACTGAAGGAGGCAGCATGTCTTTCATGGTACTCTAATCTTTTCTCTTGACAGGCTTAAGTTGAAGAGATGCTTCAGGGTACACAAATTCCCTCAATACTCTTGGATTGATGCCACATGAACCTGGATTCATGTTTTGGTTTAGTCTCTCCAGGTGTCTGCAGTGACTCCTAAACTTAGAGAAAGAAGGTTTAGACAAAGGAGGCACCAGCTTGATACACCATGACGTTGATACTTTGATCCAGGCATCCCATTGGTCAGTCCTCGAGGGCCGCTGTCCTGCAGGCTTTAGAGGTTTCTTTGCTTTAGCACAGCTGATTTCGATGATAGCAGTTGAGCAAACTTCTGGTAATCAGCTGTCAATAAAAAGCAGCTATAGCTGAAGCAAGGAAACCTCTAAAACCTGCAGGACAGCGGCCTTCGAGGACCGACTTTAGGGACGTCTGCTTTAATCCACCAAAATAAGATGGTCAGAGCTGTGTCTGTATGTCTTTTTGTGTTTCTAAGAATGAATTCAAGCATGCATGTGTGGCTGTGCGTGGCTGTGTGTGTGTTTGTATAATGTTTTGTTGTACTTTCTATTTCCCCACCATGCTGCTCCATAGGGATACCATGTGAGTCCTCTTTCTCTAGCTGCAAAAAACTACAAAAAAAACTACAAAAATGCATCATCTTCACTGAGCTGGCGCCACTGCTGCCCTGACTGGAAGGGTAGGGGTAATAGGAGGGGATAGGGGCAGCACTTCCAAAGAGATAAACTGACAAACTTAGTGGGCCAAAGAAGAATCAGGTGGGCCTTCTCCTTGGCAACAATGTGGCATTGATTCTCTGCTAAGCACAGCACAGGTGAAGTAACGTCGTGAGAAGCTCTTTAAAGCAAAGAGGACCTGAATGACAACAGGATTTTTTATAACAATGTATTTTTGTGATGTCACCTTCAGAAATCTGGCAGAGGGCGATTTGCCTCGTTTCTTGTCTTATAGAATTGGTATAGATCCATACGACACAAAAAAAGACATGCTAGCAGCATCTGCAAAGATTATCTGAGGAGAAGAACCCATTTTGCTCTTTTTCCTCGTGCATTACCATCTCATTATGTGTCTCCCTCTTACCAAATTGATTGAACAGCTTTCTAATGGTTTCGCAAAGTCATTTGCTGCTTCTACCCAAATACAGTTTGCTAGAAATCCCAGAAAAAGAAATATGTCCATTGTATATTGAATCAGAACATTTAGATGACTATTATTATTCCTTTAGCTCGCAGGTCTTCAATGGGGGTCCACGGTGGTACTGCATGGGGGTCGCCAAAGTTTATGTTGATAAGACTTTTTTTTTAATATTCCTCCCTCTGCAATTTTTTCCACTAATTGAAATGTCTTTAAATCCACATTAACATGAATTCAACACACTGTAGTAAACAGATAAATGGAGGCAGAAGATGTCTTTCAGTCATCAATGCACACATTCAGCGACACACAGGAGCTCTTTCCACCTGTCCCATCAACCAGGAATCAGAAATACTTTAATAATCCCAGGGAGAAATTACTTTTGTTACATTACTCCATCTGTAATAGAGTGACTATCGGACCAGTTTAACCCTACAACACTATTTCATACAATATATATAATTAGGGGGCTCCCGCTCCATCTCACCATCAGTTTGGGGGTCCTTGGCCTGGAAATCTTTGAGGACCCTTGCTTTAGGCTCTTTAGTCTATTTGTGTGGCCCTGGTGTATGGAGTTATAACAAGTTAGTGTTGTTGTTTCCCATTGTGACTTCCTTATGTAGAGATCTGTTTAAAAACAGGAGATACTGTAGAATATGATGATCGTGTTTGTTGGTTCAATTGCTCCTTGTTCCAAATATCACTTCCTCTTCCTTAGATTCTTCAGTTATTATGGAAAAAACATGAGAGAATGCCTTATACCATTCTTCCAAACAGACAAAACCAGTGAAAAGTAGCGCCAAAGCAAGGCGTGGTTTGGTCCACTCTATAAAGCCTGGAACTCAACGCGATTTCGGACACTTTTAAATGAAAAAGCTTCCTGGGTTAAAAGCGGAACGTCGTCAAACTTCCGTCCAGTGGATTGTTTTTTAACTCAAAACAAGTTCAAAAAGACTTTTTGGCCAGGTCTAAGACTGTAAAACTTGGTTTAACCTTTTCATAACATGAGGACCCACATTTGGGTCCTCAGCACTCGCCCCAAGATGGTTTTTAGACATGTAACATATTCTCTGGGGTCTTGCCTTTATTTTGATACCAAAACAATTAAAATAAACTCTGTAGTTCTTGAGATATGTTCAATGTTATTTTCAAGCATATTTCTCGAAAACAGGCCTAGTGTCCAAGAGCTTAAATGGGCAATTTTTGCGGTGTTGTCTCTTTGGAAGAGCACCTGCCCTGCTTTCCTTTCATCAGTAGTTACATAATTGTCTTTCCCTCTCTGTGTTAATTTATATCTGAAACAAAAGTTCCATTTAGTTTTGCTCTCAGCTTAAGACTGCTGCTTCTTACTGTGTATACAGGATCCTGTATCCTGTAAACGTGCATCCTGTGTAAACAGGATGCATGTTTACATGAAGACCTGTATAGATTTCTAGTAATGTTGAAATAGAAATAGAAATTTAACTCACAATGGAGAAATTCACTCTCTGCATTTAACCCCTCCCCTTGGGGAGCAGTGGGCTGCCATTGTGTGGCAACCAGGGAGCAGTGTGGGGTTAAGGGTCCTGCTCAGGGACCCAGATAGGGGTCAATGTACTTGCAACCTTCTCAGAGCACAAGTGCACTGCTCTAATAGCGTTTTTTTGTTTTTGTTTATAGAAATAAATTTGTTAGGAGTGGATTTGGACCACATCTAATGCACCAATTGAGTTAACTTTTAGATTGGTTACTGGTTAAGTTTAGACTGCATTTGGAACAATTTGCAACTGTAAAGCACCAGGTTGCTTTACAGGAAAGAAAGCAACACCAATTAATAAAACAGAATGTGAAACACTGCTTCAATTAAAAGCCGAAGAATAAAAATAAGTTTTAAAAAATGATCCAGGCTGTGGGCAGATTTAATTTGAACAGGTAAAAGGTTCCACAGAATTGGAGCAACAACAGAGAAGGCCCGATCTCCTTTCCTCTTAAGTCGAGTCCGAGAAACGTAGACTTCTCGACACAGACTGGAATTTCGACACACTGGAAAAAGGATCTAAAAATAAGTAGAAATGTCTTAAATTAAGTGTATTTATGCTTAATTTGAGTAGGTAAATTAGATAGTTTGCTAATGGAATGAGTATTTTTGCTTTTAAAATAAGAAAATTAGATAAAATGCACCTGAAATAAGACAATGCAATTGTGTTTTATTATTGTAAGTGTAAATTGTCTTGTTCCATTGGCAAAATCTCTCTTTTACCTACTAAATCCAAGAACAAATACACTTATTTTAAGAAAAAACAACTTATCTAGATTTTGATTTTTTTCCAGTGCACAGTCATTGATCAAGACATTAGCCATTAAAAGCTGCCTCATCATCTAGTATATTTAGATTTTTTGAAGGGTCGTTGTAACTCTGAGCCTCTTTCAGGTCTCATTGTGTTAAACATTTACTTAAATTTTATTTTAATTGAACCATTTTAAATCAAGGCAAAAAGCCAAAATAAGTGGTTGTCAGTCAATTTTTACCTCTGCTCTCTCTCTGTAATGTTGCATTGCCTTTATTGTCTCAAACCATTAGCAACATTATAATTAATCTACTGCTGATAAGCCTTTTCTATATGCTGAGTATAACATTGTTAAAAGCAAGATTTTTTTTTTAAGGACAAAGAAAAACGTTTATATCCAATGTTGACAATTACTCGTGATATTCTTGTGTTTGCAGATTTAAATGCAGCTGCACCTGCTTACTCACCTGCTTTACACATTAGTTGAGTGAAAAAAATTGCTTTTTGTTTGCAATTTCTAAACTGGATCATCATAACTCTCATTCTAAGTTTTAGAGAGAAGATTTAGAAAGCCTCCAGACACATTCCCCACTCCCCAAGTTATTTAGTGTCTGGCAGTGGGAAGATAAACTCAACAATATGTTTTATTAGCAAGAAATCAGAAACTAAGAATCTTTTTTAACTGCTGAAGAACTAGAAAAAATACAGACTGAAAATAGTAATGGTAAATTCTAATTCTTTTCTCATTTTACTATTACACAATGTTCCCAGCACTCCTTTAACACCCCAATCACGAGGGCATAAATCAGATGCTGACATTAGGGGTAATAGATTCCATTCATCTGACCAACTATATTATAAAAGTGTGAAAGCATGAATGTTGAAGCATATTATCCTACCAAAAACTGCATCCAAACAGTATTTTCTGACTGCAATGTCACAAAACTTAAAATTGTGACAAAGGCCGATATATCAATACATTTTTAAGCAGTAATTAACGCAGAATAGTGATATTATCAGATTTAAGCATGACAAATATAAAGTACAGCTCTGTTTTTTATGTGGCTTCTGAGCTTTTTTGTTCCCGACAGTTGGCTCCATCCCTCCAAAGCATGTCCAATGTTCTTCATTCTTTGTTTTTTGAGAGGGGCATGAAGGAAGCCACCTATGTTAAGAAAGAATAACCAACCTTAAACAGAGAGAGTGGACTCCAGCTTTCAAAAATCTACAATGCAGCTATTGAGATAATCCCTTCCCATTATCATCACAACCCCCACCCCCTGTAAAGGAGAGTGGAGGACCCACACTTAGATGGGTATGGGGCATTTCAGTCTAACAAAACAAGCCAAACGACCCTCATTCCAAATGGATGAAGCCCTTCGTCTGTTCCAATTAGCATGTTTTCAAAACAAAAACAAGGCTTTCTGGGCTACTGTATAAAACCTCAAACTCAACGCTATTCCTGACATTTTAAATTGAAAAAGCTTCCTGGATGGGAAGCAAAACGTCTTCAAACTGGGAAACAAAGTCCAGTGGATTGTTTTTATTTTTTTGGAACTTATTGTTGGGTCATCATCTGATTACCCAGGTCGAATCCGTGGAGGTATTTTTTCTCAGATAGTGTAACTACTAGGCTGGAAGCATGCTTGTTTTATTCCAGTCATGGTTAACAAAGTCATTGATGCAAGCAAAAATTCAATTCAGTTTATTTCCATAGCGCCAATTCACAACACATGTCATCTCAAGGCACTTTACAGTTCACCAGATCATACAATCAAATTGATTCAAAGTTTTCTATCTAAGGAAAACCAGTTGATTGACTTGAAGGCAATCCCTCACACTAACCATGCTTGTAGCAACAGTGGAGAGGAAAAACTCCCTTTTAACGAGAAGAAACCTCCAGCAGAACCAGGCTCAGTGTGAGCGACCATCTGCTGAGGCCCACTGGGGTTCAAGGAGACAGAAGCAGAGATACAAAAGGAAGCTGTAAAAGGATGAAGAGAGCACATCCAAGTAAATCACAGTCAGAGAAACAGGACTACACTGAAAAACAGGCCAAGCTCCAACATCTAGGAACAAAGGTGTTGATGGCAGCAGCACAGCTGATATTTCTCTCCAGGATGGATTCACAGCCGAACAGGAACAGACCAGATGAAGCTACTATGAGAAAAAGCAGAGAGA